CATGCAAGCATCCTACTTATGTCTCTTTTCTCGTACCATCCAATCTATTTTTCCTCCCCTCCATTCACTTAGTAGTTAAGAAAGACAAAATTTAGGCTGCAGTACATTCAACGTGGTCAGTATTGTCAATAAGAAAACACCTCCCCCCCCCCCCCAAAAAAAATCATTCTTGCAAATTTTGCATAACACAAAATGCATGAAAGTAAGAGAAAGTGTAGGAAAAAAAATTTTCTAATTTTTTCCTGTCACACAAACACTACTATAACTGTCTGTCAAGTAATTTCATGCTATTCGAATTTTGCGTTTGGATTGTTCGACTTGGAGTTGCTTACTAACGTCCTAATCACCAATGTTATTTTATTACTATATAAAAAGTGTGATGAGTGTTGGGATTAGAAAGTGTAAGCACTTTTTTGTTTTATTTCTTATTATATCTAAATGATCATCATGTCTTATAAATAGAATGACTACATTTCAATGTGTGGCGCTAATTAAAAGAAATGTCACACTCTAGTTGATTACATTGCAATATTATTGGTAATTACAATTAAAATTTTTTCATTAAAAACTATTTACCTACCCTTGGACCCAATCTCTAATTATTATATGCATCAAAATTTCTTAATTAAAGTATGAAAAGTTTCTCATTAGTCATAATCTGAGATTGTTAAAAAAATCAATGTAAGAAAGTAGATACTCTTTGGAAAATGGAGAAACATATAAGAAGAAAAAAGCCATACAAATATCATGAGCAAATTTCACAATTATGTGCTTTTAACTAATATGAAGAAATTAAAAAACAAAATCCAAATAGAAAACTCAACTATTTCAATCAAATGAATTTCAAGTGACAGCTAAATAATCAATCTAAAATGATTGAGCATTAAGAATAATTTACATTCTTATAAATAGTCCAAATTCAATTAATGTTAAACCTCACTTCATCGCATTCAAATTCATATAAAAACTGAAAAGTTGAACAACTAACGAGACATAAAAGAGTGTACCTAAACAGTCATGCAACTAACAAGTATGCAAACAATTTAGCTTCAATTGAGATGACAATTCATGTTACCCAAATCCAAGCAAACAACAAAAATTTTTCTTTTACTTCACCTATAATCAACTTATATATTTAATTTCACAATTAGAGTTTTTTTTAAATCTAAGATGAAAAGGAAAAAGCATTCATAGATTAATTTAGGTGTATCTACATTGAACATGCCACTTATATTAGTAGGGAAATGGAGTTGTTGTTTTTGGTGCTTTATGTTGCATTGTTTTCAAACAAATTTATAAAAACGATAGAAGATAAATGAAAAAGAGAATATCCAACTAACTCTGCCAATGAAATTTCAATTGATGACATTGAATATTCACACAAAAATTATTAAATATGATGGAATGAAAATACCTTGGTGAATTAAATAATTACAAAGAGTTCAAGTATATACAATTTTAAAAAAGATTCAAAAAAAAATTTTAAAATAGTGTAACTCACTTCATATTAAAGAACTTCATCAAAAAATTAACTAATTCAATTCATATAACATATACAAAGAATTAGGTTATATACGAAATGAAAATTGTAGAAAATGTTAGTCTAAAGAAAAAAGAAATATTGTTCATGTAATTTATTCTTAAAGAATCAACCTATTATAATTGTACTATTAAATAATTAGTAATCATAAGTATTGATACTTCTAATACTATTCAGAAAGTGTTTAACAAATTAACCAAATTTTGGTTTTTCGGTTGTTAAAATCTGATGATTTTTCTAGAAAATATATTATAGATTTTACTTTTAATTGAAGAAAGACATATCCAAACCCCAATTGATAAATGAGTTAATTTGCAAATGCACGAGGGGAAGGAAAGTATAGAATCAAAATGATAAAAATCTAGCAAGTCAATTCATTTTGTACTCTAATGCCCCTTTTAACATTTCTGTATATCTTACAAATAAGATTTGCTTCTTCCATACTTGATATGTACATTTATACTTCCTTCTTAACAACATTATTTTATACTATATAAAAAGTGCAATTTTATAATATAAGGGTAATTATAACACCTCTGGTAAAACATAACCGTGTTAACAATTGTTATCAAAATTCAATCTAAATTTAATACAAAGTACTCAAAAAAAAGTTCAAATAGCTTTAGGTCAAAGAGTTCAAATTTGAACAATGTTTGAAGTCAAAATGGGTTAAAAAAATTGAAAAACATACATAAATTGTAATATGGGGTAGATAATCAAAACTTTTCAGCAAATTTTAGTACGTACGAAAATGTTTTATTTTTTTTTTTCAGAAATGACAACAGTTGTATAATCTAATATATTCTACACTAAGGGGGATGGGGCGGACCTAAAGAGACCCAGAGATAACGTAGAGGGGACTGAACCACCATCGGATCAAACAGGTGCACAACACACATGCTTGGATTTTTTGAAGCAAACCACTTAAATGTGGCATTTTGCCTCCCACCCCACCAAGCTATGAAAATATTTTACTTGGGTTACTATATATTCACCTACAAAGTATATGAAGCATAACTAGAAACCTTGCTTCCCACTCCACCAAGTTAGGTGGTGGCCACCAGCCTTTGGACTGGTGGTTACGAAAATGTTTTACTTGGGTTACTATATAAGGCTGGTGGTTACGAAAATGTTTTGCTTGGGTTACTATATATTCACGTACAAAGTACATGAAGCATTACTAGTCACTACTGCTGCCGTCTGGTCGACTAATTTCACACTTTTTTTTAGTAGACTAAATTCATACAGTATAACAACAAGCGACAAAGAGAAGTCACCGTCAGCTAAAGTCACATTGTCCTAACTTCTTGCAGGCATGTGGGCTAAAACAAGTCTCGAGGGAATTTATTAATTAGTTATACTAAATTTATTAATATATTTATATTAAATTTTTAATTATATTTAATAGAATAACACTTTTTTCTATAAAAAAAAAAAGCACAAACACAATAATGAATTAGTGATTGTATTTGTACCAAAAGTGAAAACTTAACTATTTTAGTTGTATTTATTTCATCATGTTGGATTATATTCAAATAATTTTTGTTTGATTGTTTTTATGAGTTTCAATTGTAAAATTAAAATGAATAATAACTTGATGATGTGTTGATATTTTAGTACTTGATTATTTATTAAAATTTAACTATAATAAAATTTTATTAATCTAGCGGAAAAAATTTTATTAACCCCGCGGGGGAAGCGGGGCGGGGCGGGGGATGGGGGAGGGGTCCTCCGCCCCAACCCCGCCCCGTTGCCATCCCTGCTAGTTACAAGTAATTAGAAGTATACACTAATAAAATAAATTTATCTTCAGTAAGCAAAAATTAGTTCATTAAGTTTCTGCAATTAGTTAGGGTATAAAAGTAAATTCATATAGTTTATTGTTAGCAATAGGTCTAATTTCCTCCTAGGGAAGGTCAATGCTATTTTAAAAACTACAGGGGAGGTGAGTGCTAGTGTTAGAAACCTTAAGGGAGGTTTCTGCAATTATACCTTTTTTTTTCTTTTCTTGTCTTTTCAATTCGCCACCTGCTATGACAAGCAAGGTTCACGATTAAATGTGAGTGTTTTTTCAGCCGCAGATCCATGACGCAGTTGACTACTATTATTATTATTTTTATAATTATCTACCTAATTGCGTATTTTCCCTACTTAACGTCTCCCTTGACTATTGACTACGGCACAAGAATTCTATTTAATTCAATTAATAGGAAAAAAGCGACCATTCTTACATGCTTAATGACAAAATTCCAATTTTTTATTATTGAATAGGCGGTATAATTTACCAAGTCTAGTGGTCGGATTTTTTTTCTTTTTCTATTTTCTCCAATGTTCATTAGCACAACTTTAAGAAGACCACCAAATTAAAGGATGCTCCATGTGGAAAATTTTAATTACAGAAAATCTTCAATGGATCTCATAGTTTAATGCACGAGAACTCTACACAAATTTAATCGAACTTAAGTTTTTTAGGTTCCTAGTGAAACACACTTAAATTTCATGAAAGCTATTTCTTGGTATAAATTTCCAATCAGAATGTGAAGTTGTATGTGTCAAATTAGCATTTAAATGTTGTCGTCCTTCAAATTACCACTTAAATTCATCAGCATTAACCACTTAATCCGAAAATGAATTTGTTTAACTTATATGAAGTTGGAATTATTAAGATTGGATAAATGATATATTACATTATTTTCTATTTTTATAGTATCTTAATTTATTTTAGATCTGATTTGGGATAAAACACTTTTACGGTGTTTTAATTTATTTCAGATCTAGTTTGGAATTATTTTATCGAAAATTTTATTACTTGATTATGTATTTAGTCTAGTGCAAAATTGATTATGTTAGAAACTACAATAGTAAATTAGTAAGTTGAAATTATAATTCAGGTCATTCAGGTTGACCCGCCAACCTATTAACCTGAAATTTTCGGGTTCGAATCAGATATTCTGACCCATTTTGGGTTGACGAGTCGTGTTCGAGTCAACAGGGTTTTTGTTGTACCTGAGCCTCAACACGTTTCTGATCTGATTGCCACCCCTGTTCCAAATCATTATTTTCCCTCACATATATCACATCGCAAAAAAGTTGTATTAAAGTAATTATTCCAAATAATATTTCAAACAACCTCATTGTTTAATGCATGTAGTATTCTTGGCCGTGTACATCTATCTTAGTGGTTGTACGCATTTTGTTATTGACATACATACAAATATTGTCATAGGTTTCTGTCAACAAAGAAAATATTATCGCAAGTATATCGATTTGTCAGAGCTGAATCCTGTTCCATTTTTAATACTACCATTTACACAGAGTCTTGTCAACTATGATTTATAATAAGCTTTCAAGGAAGAACCCAATAGAAACGGATGAGGGGTCTCGCAAATTGAAACCTGTAATTTTATTACATCTGATGTACAATTTACACTAATGGATTTCAACTTGGTAGATTTCAACTGGTGATGCCGATGATCTGACAAAAACACCATAAAAATAACCTTGAATATAATTGGTAATTAGTGTAGGAAAACAGATGGTCAAAACTCAAAAGAGTTAAGATGAGAAGAAAGTCTAAGAGGCCGGCCAAACAAGTTTTGAACGCGTGGATTGTTCCATACTGGTTCATTAAGTCGTCGATTACATAGAGCAATTGCAGTGGAGCATCCAGGAGTACATCCAACAATTGTAGTGAAACATCGAGGAAATTGCTAGTGAAAAAAAATACTCAAATCTGATCTCAACTGATGTAGACTTCTCCAAGGTAATTTGACTATTTCCTGCATCATTTTGGTTCACGTATTTAGGCAGATGCTCTTTGATCAGTTCAACAATATCCCTATGCTAGTGAAAGATAAAACTTTGCTCTACTTCCCAATAATGAGTCCTCCCAAGTTATTCTTTCTGCTACTTCTCATCCTTGCAGTAGTCATAGTTATGTTAGTTCTTTTGGGCATAAAGAAGACTCCAAAGCTTGCTGAGGCTGCTGGGCTGACAATTGCAGTGTTTACTGGTCTTGTCCTGCTACAGAAGAGACGCAATAAAAAGAAGAAGCAGGGCCATTTTGAACGAAATGGAGGTCTTCTATTGGAGAAACAATTATCTGCTGCAGATGGTGCTATTGAAAAAACTAGAATTTTCATGTCTAGGGAATTGGAGGCGGCCACCGATGGATTCAACGAAAGTCGAATACTTGGTCAAGGTGGCCAAGGTACAGTATATAAAGGGATCCTAGCCGATGGAAGAATTGTGGCAATCAAGAAGTCGAAGGTTGACAAAAGCCTGTTGGAGCAGTTCATCAACGAGGTCGTCATTGTTTCGCAAGTTAATCACAGGAATGTGGTAAAACTTCTGGGTTGTTGCTTGGAGACAGAAGTTCCTCTGCTTGTCTATGAATTTATCCCTAATGGAACCCTATTTAACCTCATTCAAAACGACAATAAGGCTGAATCCTTCCCTTTTACTTGGACCTTGAGATTAAAAGTAGCCACAGAGGTAGCAGGAGCATTGGCATACCTACACTCGGGGCTTACAATTCCAGTCTTTCACAGGGATATCAAGTCCACCAACATATTGTTGGATGAAGAATACATAGCTAAAGTATCAGACTTTGGAGCTTCATTGTCCATTGCAATTGACAAAACCCACATGACCACTCGAGTCCAAGGGACTTTCGGCTACATCGATCCAGAATATTTCCGGTCGAGCCAAATTACTGACAAAAGTGACGTTTACAGCTTTGGGGTGGTTCTTCTTGAGCTCCTGACAAGACAAAAGCCCATACCTTCCAGAGGAGAAGGAGAAGATGTCTATTTAGGATTGGCACAAAGGTTTCAGACATCCATGGAAGAGAATTCTCTTCCAACGATTCTTGATCCTCAAATTATAGATCAAACAAATGAAGGGGAGGTCATTGCTGTTGCTAAACTTGCACAGCGATGCATAGACTGGGATGGAAGGAGGAGACCAACTATGAAGGAAGTTTCCATCGAGTTGGAAAACATCAAAATGTCAAGAGGGGGTTTAACTATTCAAGAAAATTATCAAAGTTCAAGTTGCACCGACGAAGAAGCTGTTGTGATGATTGATGTTTACGACGCATCGACTATTGGAAGTGAGAACGTTAAGTCAACTTCAGATGCCTACGCGGTATTGAACAATACAATCTAATTCAGCGCTGGCGGCAAAATGACAGGGCTGGAAAGGTGCAACGAATCTTCCGTCACACGTCACGTGTCACTCTCTATCAATTTTTTTATTATATTACTATATCTCTTTCATAAATATCATGTTTTAGTTCTTTTTTATTTTCTTAAAATCCAATAACTATTAATTCATTAATACACAAAATTTAACAAACTCAAAAAATCAAAATGCATAAAAAATGAGATTTTTTATGAATTTTCTGCTGTATTTTTTAATTTTCTATTATATATTGCTTTTTTGAACTCTCTGTCCCACTTTTTATTATATTACTATTTTTCCTTCATAAACATCATGTTTTAGTTCTTTTTTGTTTCCTTAAGATCCAATAACTATTAATTCAATAAAAAATAAATACAACAGCTTCAAAAAAGCAATATATAATAGAAAATTAAAAAATACAGCAGAAAATTCATAAAAAATCTCATTTTTTATGCATTTTGATCTTTTGAGTTTGTTAAATTTTGTGTATTATTGAATTAATAGTTATTGGATCTTAAGGAAACAAAAAAGAATTAAAACATGATATTTATGAAGGAGAAATAACAATATAACAAAAAGTGAGACAGAGAGTGACACGGGGTATGGGACGGAAGATCCGTTGCGTAAAGGGCAGTCGCCCCGAAGAATTCCACAAAATGTTTGTATGCACTGTGAACTTGGAGTTCAAGGAACAACTTCCTGTGGTTATTTTCTTCCCCCCCCCCCCCCTCCTCCCCTTTTTTTGTGGAGAATGTACTGTGCTTTAGCGTCTATCTTTTTACCGATAACTTCCTTGACCATATCACAACATATTTTGTGTGTATTTGGATAGAGTATTATTTAAAATAAATACTGTAGCACTTTTTGTGACATGATATATGTGAGATAAAAAGATAGTTGAGAATGTAAAAAAAGTATGTTAAAAAATATATTTATGATGTAAGTAAAATATTATTTACAAAAATGTAGTTACAAGATTAACCCGTTAATTTAAAACTAGTCAAAGTTGTGTGAGGCAGTCCCAATCTTTGATGCCCTGCTGCAATGTAGTAGCATAAAGATAGATAAGATGATAACATAGAGTGAAAGTTGTAAATTTATAGAGAAGTTATCTACAACAGGGTCAAGATATTTACCATGTACACAATAGGTGTTTTTAGCATAGGCTGTCTTTTTCTTTTTCTTTTTTTTGAAATGGGTAGGGGTAGGTGGGAGGAGAAAGGAAGTGCGATTTAGTATTTAAAAAAAGAAAAAAGAAAAAAAGGGTCCCCTTGGTCTCATGGCCACCAGGAGGGCTTTCAAGTCCCTTCTGAGGCATTAGTTAACAGATCAAATTCTTTTGTCAATATTAAATATCAGGAATTCCTGACTTCTCAAATTCAGTATGTGCTTTAGTGCATCCATCTGTTGCGGAAGCAACTAAATCCCTTCTGGTTCTAGTGGCCCTATTCCTTTCTTCCATAGTATAGGAGAAAATATAGGTGCAGAAAGTTACTAATTGACACCAAACAAAAAAAAAAGGAAGATTACATCAATTATCGCATTAATAAATTGGAGATCTCCTTTGCCTCAATATGTTTGTCATCCATGGTGCATCAAATGATTTGAAAATACAATTTGAAAGACTTAGGGTCTATTTGATAATATAAAAAAGTGCTGAAACTGAATCTTTTAATACATTCAGATGTTTTGAGTGTTTGATAAATGAGAATCCATCTACTGAACTTATTAAAGAAAAATATATTCCATGTAGTCAGTGGAGATAGGCTGGCATAAGGTCATGACCCCCAAGTGTTGAACCATTAAAAGAAAATATTTTTTTCAGCTCATTTGATATTTGGTAAGGTCAATAATCAGTTAATCAAAAAATTCTACCTCAAACTCTCAAATCTCCCCTTTTTCAAGTTGCTTGGGATATTTTAAAAAAAAAATGGAACTTTTAGTAGGGGAGGGTAGAAATTGAGAAGCAAAGCTGGAGATCAGAATTTGAAATCAAAACTTCTAATTCCTGACATCTCGATTGTTTGTGAGAGTTTAATTTACTAAAGTTATATTGAAAAGAAACCAATTTGAATATACTTTAGGCTATGACAAACAAGATATTAAACAGTTACAAGAATTGTAATTTGGTTCCCTTTGAACATCTGCTTTCAAGTTTAACGTGATATAGAACATAAAACTCCAATATTCATTGTTTATACTATGGACCCCATGCCTGTCAAATTGTTATTGAATATTAAGGAAATAAAAAAAGAACTAAAATATGATGTTTATAGAGAAGAAATAGCAATATAATAAAAGTAGAACAGAGTGTAGCACATAAAGTTGGACAGAAGATCCGCTGCATTTCAACGAGCATTACTCCTAATTTAAATTCTTTGCATGATATTAGTAGGATAAATCCCAAATAAACAAGCGAATCAGTCTGCTAAAGGGTTTGGTTTCCAAATTACAATACTAGTAAGTGGAAAGTAAGTTAAATTGTAAAACGAAATGGGGACTACGTTAGTCCATTCCATGACTAGAGAAAAAACAGATCCACAACAGATGCTGTACACGTTTCATTTGGAATAAGACTCAATAATATCTACTGTTTCTCAATCTGCAGAAAGTTTAACCTCAGACACTTAGGAATTATAGATGCTAATATTCAAGACTTTAAGTAGCCATACATTCTCAATTTTAAGAAACTTCAACTCAGAGAATTAATAAAATGTGCAAGTGGAAGTGGATTCCCAAGCATTGGTTCAGCTACTTAATTCTCCTACACAAGTAAACTGGCCTATATGTCTTATTTTAGTGCATGTCAAGCATTTAACAGGTCTCTTGGCAGCCTTTATTATCCATATACTTCGAGAAGCTAATAGTGCAGTTGATGCATTGGCATCTATTGGAGTGACAGGTGCGGAACCTGTGCAATAATAATAAATAAAATCTAACTACCATCCAAAGCAATCAATAATCAATTCGAGTACTAGAGCAGGGACTCTAGGTGTGCAATGGGTTACTTGATTCACCCTGTTCCCAAAAAGTTTGCTTAATCCGATATACCTGAATTAATTATTTAATTGAATTCACTACTAGTAGACAGTGGTAAGCAGGGTCGTCTCCTCAGGGACTGGAGAGAAATTTATTCCTTTTCGAATCAAGACAAGTGGGGGTTTTCACGGTTAAATGCTAAAAATAAATTAACTACAGAGAATAATTAATTAAAAGAAATAATTGGAGAAACTCTAGTCAAGGATACACTTTAGAAATGGTTCATGCAACTGATCATCGATTCACATATAATTCCAATATTTATTAATAGACCAGTTATAGTTGTCATGCACGCGATAAACAACCAACCTTTCCTTAATTTCTCGATAGTTAAGGTACGACCGTTAACTATTTCTCTAACCCAAAAACAACCTTAGGTACGACCGTAGGATTTAATTTCTAGATTGCATTAATAATTAGAAAGGTCCAATCCTAACTAACAAATATGCTACGGGGGTTTGTTTAAACTAGATCGTATGCTCCCCTGGCATAAATCCAATTACACCAGTTGCTACTAAGATAGAGATAACGAACAATTACGGATTCAATTACCTCTATTTAACAAAATAACCTATATGAATAATTAATTATTGCGCACTAATCAATCATACATAAGGATTATAACAATTAAAAATAGGAAACACATAAATATCAATAAATGAGGAAGCGATTAAAATAATTTCGATCTCACAGTAATTGTTGAACTAAGTCTTCAGTTGTCCCCTTGACTAGAATTAAGATGTTAGTCCTCCATGAATGGAGAACAACCATGCGAAAGAACTATCTGAAGTTTACAAGATTGTTCCAAGCCTTTTTCTCTGAAGCTAATGAAAGCAAAGCGAATGGGAGGGTCAAGCGGCCGTTGTTTTTCTCTCGGAGTCACGGTTCTCCCCTCCTTAAAGAAAGGGAAACCTAAGTGACTCTCTAACTCCTCATCTGTCGCCCCCCCCCCCCCCTCCTTTCGAAAGCTAAGGAACTCTTTTTGAAAACTATTGCCAGTAAAAACAAAAACCAAGTCTCCTAATAATAGTCAACAACAGTGGCTCTTAAGGGTCTCTCACAAAACATACGAGAGATTCCCTTTTTTTCTCCCTTCAATTTCGGTCAAAGCAAGATTGGAAGACAATTCCAATGATCTCCACTTTCCAAGGTCAACAAAAGATGATAAGCAATACAAAGTCAAGGACGGAGGCTCTTGTCTCCTCAGATGCCTTTCTCAAAGCTGCGGCCCATCTCCCTTTAAAATCATAGCCTTGCAGAAAACCTAAGCCAGGCGACAAACTAACTCTTGCCCAATTAGATTTCTTCAGCTTCTCAAGCGGCCCATGCACGATAAATTCTCTAAATTTTGATTTTAAGCACTTTTTAGCATTCAGTCCTGTAATTGGCACCAAAACAAAATATCAGTAAAATCCACTCAATTATTAAAAATATTTAATCGAATAAAAGTGCATTAATGCCCAAAATACCCCCTAAAATGCACCCTATCATGGAGGTAGTCAGCAACAAATTTTTAATTTCCTAATAGATCTTATGTTTTAATAAAATAAGGGCTGATATCCCTCCCCCGTATATCCCCGTATATGGGAGGCTTGTCCCGAAAAAAAAAAAAAAACTGAGAATTAATAGGATGATCGGAGGCAGTTTCTCTTTTTAATACATGGATAAATCATGTTTCACTTGACTTGAGGTCATAATTCGCTGGCAAGAATGGCTTAGCAAGTCAGTCTGGACTATTGGATGTCGACAAGTTGGACGTAGACATTTCACGTAAAAATATGTAAATCCTGCTGCCACCTTCCTAGCAATTGAAGAAATGCATTCTCTTAAACCAATTAAGTTCAGTTCTTCTGCTTAGTGAAAATTCCTCAAATAATTGCTTGTATCATTCTTTTACTTTGCTTTAATGGCTACGTTCCTGACTTGACTCACTGACTTTTGCATCTAAATGCACCAATATGATAGTCGACAAAATCCCCCATGCTCCTACAGCCTTCTGCATTTGCAACATTTCAGACTTTATTCAGAAGTTAAGAAATAAATAATTTGGTACGAGTAATTGATGTTAATCTGTATGTTATTTTTGTTTCTTTACCTCATTGTCCAATCACTGGGGCGACACGATTTGCAGTGGAGAAGCCAGGATGCATTGATGCCTATGGAGGAGTGACAATTCCCTACCCAGTTGGAATTGGTCTAGATTGTGCTCTCAATGAAGCATTCATCATAAGTTGTACTGATGTCTCTGGCGATTCCATCAACTGTTCAAAGCCGTATCTGGGGTGCTTTAACCTGGAAAAGGTCCCCAAGAAATTGTTGAGGTGCTGGAAGTGTCCCTGAGTGATCAAACAGTAACCATAAACTTACCCTTGCTCCAAGTTTGCTGGAGTGATTCATTTGATCCGGCCATTGCAGAAGGTTCCCTTGCTGAAGCTCCCTTGTTTGTTTCGAGAGAATGCAACAAGTGATGTTCCTGGCTGTGGAAATGCTCTCCTCAGACCGCGACTTGGCAGTCCAGAGATCTTGTCTGGTTGGTTGCACCTCAATGTGTGGCACCAACACACACATCAATTCCTTATCATAATCGGTTGCTGTCGCATCAATTCCTGTCAAGCAAGCATTCCCTACTATCTCAGCCAACACAGTTTTCAATTGCACGTAACGCTTTGCAGAGCTTTGCATCCAATACCTCTGCCTCTGCCTTCTTGGAGGACCAGAACTGAAGTTGGAGAACCATGTACCCGGATCTCAACCCGACCAGCCAACCCGTTTCTGACCCAATTATCACCCTTATTTCCAATCATTTTTTACCTCGCATACATCATATCATATCGTAAAAAAGTATTACAATAATTATTTCAAAAAGTGTTACAGTAATTATTTCAAATAATATTTCAAACAATCTTGCATCCAAATAAGTGTTTAATGCATGTAGTATTCTTATCCGTATACATCTATCTTAGTGGATGTACGCATTTTGTTATTGAAATACATACAAATATTGTCATAGGTTTCTCTCAACAAAGAAAATATTACCGTAAGTATATCGATTTGTCAGAGCTGAATCCTGTTCCATTTTTAATACCATTTACACAGAGTCTTGCCAACTATGATTATAAGCTTTCAAGGAAGAACCCAATAGAAACGGATAAGGGGTCTCACAAATTGAAACCTGTAATTTTATTACATCTGATGTACAATTTACACTAATGGATTTCAACTTGGTAGATTTCAACTGGTGATGCCGACGATCTGACAAAAACACCATAAAAATAACCTTGAATATAATTGGTAATTAGTGTAGGAAAAGAGATGGTTAAAAGAGTTAAGATCAGAAGAAAGTCTAAGAGGCCGGCCAAACAAGTTTTGACCACGGAAGTGGATTGTTCCATACTGGTTCATTAAGTCGTCGATTACATCCAGCAATTGCGGTGGAGCATCCAGGAATATATCCAACAATTGCAGCGAAACATCGAGGAAGTTGCTAGTAAAAAAAATAGCCCGCATCTGATCTCAACTGATGTAGGCTTCTCCAAGGTAATTTGACTATTTCCCCTACGATATTTGATTAATTATAACATTTTGGTTCACCTATTTAGGCTGATGCTCTTTGATCAGTTCAACAATATCCCTATGCTAGTGAAAGATAAAACTTTGCTCTACTTCCCAATAATGAGACCTCTCAAGTTATTCTTTCTGCTACTTCTCATCCTTGCAGTAGTCATAGTTACGTTATGTCTTTTGGATATAAGGACTCCAAAGCTTGCTGTGGCTGCTGGGGTGACAATTGCAGTGTTTACTGGCCTTGTCCTGCTACAGAAGAGACGCAATAAAAAGAAGAAGCAGGGCCATTTTGAACGAAATGGAGGTCTTCTATTGGAGAAACAATTATCTGCTGCAGATGGTGCTATTGAAAAAACTAGAATTTTCATTTCTAGGGAATTGGAGGCGGCCACTGATGGATTCAGCGAAAGTCGAATAGTTGGTCAAGGTGGCCAAGGTACAGTATATAAAGGGATCCTAGCCGATGGAAGAATTGTGGCAATCAAGAAGTCGAAGGTTGACGAAAGCCTGTTGGAGCAGTTCATCAACGAGGTCGTCATTGTTTCGCAAGTTAATCACAGGAATGTGGTAAAACTTCTGGGTTGTTGCTTGGAGACAGAAGTTCCTCTGCTTGTCTATGAATTTATCCCTAATGGAACCCTATTTAACCTCATTCAAAACGACAATGAGGCTGAATCCTTCCCTTTTACTTGGACTTTGAGATTAAAAGTAGCCACAGAGGTAGCAGGAGCATTGGCATACCTACACTCGGGGCTTACAATTCCAGTCTTTCACAGGGATATCAAGTCCACCAACATATTGTTGGACGAAGAATACATAGCTAAAGTATCAGACTTTGGAGCTTCATTGTCCATTGCAATTGACAAAACCCACATGACTACTCGAGTCCAAGGGACTTTCGGCTACATCGATCCAGAATATTTCCGGTCGAGCCAAATTACTGACAAAAGTGACGTTTACAGCTTTGGGGTGGTTCTTCTTGAGCTCCTGACAAGACAAAAGCCCATACCTTCCAGAGGAGAAGGAGAAGATGTCTATTTAGGATTGGCACAAAGGTTTCAGACATCCATGGAAGAGAATTCTCTTCCAACGATTCTTGATCCTCAAATTATAGATCAAACAAATGAAGGGGAGGTCATTGCTGTTGCTAAACTTGCACAACGATGCATAGACTGGGATGGAAGGAGGAGACCAACTATGAAGGAAGTTTCCATCGAGTTGGAAAACATCAAAATGTCCAGAGGGGGTTTAACTATTCAAGAAAATTATCAAAGTCCAAGTTGCACCGGCGAAGAAGCTGTTGTGATGATTGATGTTTACGACGCATGGACTATTGGAAGTGAGAACGTTAAGTCAACTTCAGATGCCTACGCGGTATTGAACAATACAATCTAATTCAGCGCTGGCGGCAAAATGACAGGGCTGGAAAGGCGCAACGGATCTTTCATCCCACGTCGCGTGCCACTCTCGGTCCCTTTTCTTATTATATTATTATTTCTCCTTCATAACATCATATTTTAATTCTTTTTTATTTTCTTAAGATCCAATAACTATTAATTCAATAATACACAAAATTTAACAAACTCAAAAAATCAAAATGCATAAAAAATGAGAATTTTTATGAATTTTCTGCTGTATTTTTTAATTTTCTATTATATATTGCTTTTTTGAACTCTCTGTCCCACTTTTTATTATATTACTATTTTTCCTTCATAAACATCATGTTTTAGTTCTTTTTTGTTTCCTTAAGATCCAATAACTATTAATTCAGTAAAAAAATAAATACAACAACTTCAAAAAAGTAATATATAATAGAAAATTAAAAAATATAGCAGAAAATTCATTAAAAAATCTCATTTTTTTATGCATTTTGATCTTTTGAGTTTGTTAAATTTTGTGTATTACTGAATTAATAGTTATTGGATCTTAAGGAAACAAAAAAAACTAAAACATGATGTTTATGAAGGAGAAATAACAATATAATAAAAAATGGGACAGAGAGTGACACAGGGTGTGGGACGGAAGATCCGTTGCGTACAGGGCAGTCGCCCCGAAGAATTCCACAAAATGTTTGTATGCACTGTGAACTTGGAGTTCAAGAAACAACTTCCTGTGGTTATTTTCTTCCCTCCCCCCTCCTCCCCTTTTTTTGTGGGAGAATGTACTGTGCTTTAGCGGTCTATCTTTTTACCGATGACTTCATCAAATAAAGTAGGAAAAGTTCCTTGACCATATCACAACATATTTTGTGGGCCTGTTTGGAACTTGAGTTTTTTGGAAGTTTGTCTAAAACTTTGCTGTAGTGCACTGTAAAAATTTTTGAAAAAATTTTGTAGAAGTTTTTATAAGGTGAAAAAAATTTTTGTAAAAGTTTTTGTAAGGTGAAAAATTTTGTCGAAGTTTTTGTCGAGTGAAAAACTTTTTTTTCCTTTTCTTTTTGTTTCTTTCTTTTTCCTTTTCTTTCTTTCCTTTTTCTTTTCTTTCCTCTCTTCTTCTTCTTCTTCCTTTTTCTTCTTCTTCTTTCTTTCTTTCCTCCCCGTTACCTCCCAGTAGCACTCACGCCCGCCACCCCTCTCCTCCCTTTCCCCTTCTCCTCCCGCCACCCCCTGCGCCCCTTCCCCCTCTGACACCGCGAGCCCCTCCCTTTCCTCTGCCAGCCCCCCGCCACCCCTGCCACACCCCAGCTTCTCCCGCCACTCCCCTCTCCCCACCCCCCTGCCCTTTCCCCAGCTTCTCCCGCCACCTCCCCTGCACGACCCCCTCCCCTGCCACCCCCTGCCCTTTCCCTAGCACGACCCCCTCTCCCCGCCACCCAGCGGACGGTGCTGAAATAGTACCCCGGTTTCCGGCAGAAAGCATCGAGGAATTTGCGGAACTTGGAACGCTTCGTCGCGGAGGATTTGCTCTTCTGCATCCAGTTGAATAAGGAAACCATCACGTTGAATTTGATGTCCAATTCCTCCATTCTGGACTTTTTTTTTCTCTTTTTTTGCCTTTTCTGGGCTATGATTTTGCTTGTTCAGTTCTTGGGATTTTATGTTCATTTTTTGTGTTTGAAATGAAGGATTTAAAAACCGCCTGAAAGGGGAGGAGGAAGGGGGCGGGGGAGGCAGAGGGGAAGAGGGAGGGGGAGGGGGGGGAGAGAAAAAAAAAACTTTGTGTATGGCCGGAACTGGCCGCCTGACTAGTAACCGGCGCGGGAAGTGGTGGTGGAGGTGGTGGCCGGCGGAGGATGTGGTGGGTTGGGTGGGGGAGGAAAAAGAAGAAAAGTTGAAAGGAAAGTTTTTTGTGTAATTTTTAAGTGTGTAGGTAAAAAGCTTTGAGAAGTTTTTTGGGGTTCCTGTAGCAAAAGTTGTTAAAAAACTAGTATGTAAAAAACTTGGTCAAAAAACTCACTTCCAAACAGGCCCTGTGTGTGTTTGGATAGAGTATTATTTGAAATATTATTTAAAATAATTACTGTAACACTTTTTGTGACATGATATATGTGAGATAAAAAGATAGTTGAGAATGTAAAAAAAGTATGTTAAAAAATATATTTATGATGTAAGTAAAATATTATTTACAAAAATGTAGTTACAAGATTAACCCGTTAATTTAAAACTAGTCAAGTTGTGTGAGGCAGTCCCAATCTTTGATGCCCTGCTGCAATGTAGTAGCATAAAGATAGATAAGATGATAACATAGAGTGAAAGTTGTAAATTTATAGAGAAGTTATCTACAACAGGGTCAAGATATTTACCATGTACAAAATAAGTGTTTTTAGCATAGGCTGTCTTTTTTTTTTTTTTGGAGGGGGTAGGGGTAGGTGGAGGAGAAAGGAAGTGCGATTTAGTATTTAAAAAAAAAAAAAAAAAGGGTCCCCTTGGTCTCATGGCCAGCAGGAGGGCTTTCAAGTCCCTTTTGAGGCATTAGTTAATAGATCAAATCCTTTTGTCAATATTAAATATCAGCAATTCCTGACTTCTCAAATTCAGTAGGTGCTTTAGTGCATCCATCTGTTGCGGAAGCAACTAAATCCCTTCTGGTTCTAGTGGCCCTATTCCTTTCTTCCATAGTATAGGAGAAAATATAGGTGCAGAAAGTTACTAATTGACACCAAATAAAAAAAAAAGGAAGATTACATCAATTATCGCATTAATAAATTGGAGATCTCCTTTGCCTCAATATGTTTGTCATCCATGGTGCATCAAATGATTTGAAAATACAATTTGAAAGACTTAGGGTCTATTTGATAATATAAAAAAGTGCTGAAACTGAATCTTTTAATACATTCAGATGTTTTGAGTGTTTGATAAATGAGAATCCATCTACTGAACTTATTAAAGAAAAATATATTCCATGTAGTCAGTGGAGATAGGCTGGCATAAGGTCATGACCCCCAAGTGTTGAACCATTAAAAGAAAATATTTTTTTCAGCTCATTTGATATTTGGTAAGGTCAATAATCAGTTAATCAAAAAATTCTACCTCAAACTCTCAAATCTCCCCTTTTTCAAATTGCTTGGGATATTTTTAAAAAAAATGGAACTTTTAGTAGGGGAGGGTAGAAATTGAGAAGCAAAGCTGGAGATCAGAATTTGAAATCAAAACTTCTAATTCCTGATATCTCGATTGTTTGTGAGAGTTTAATTTACTAAAGGGTCTGTTTGGATTCCTTGTTTTTTGGTATGTTTTTGAAAAACTGTTTTTCACATTCCAAATGTTACAGTAAATGTGTATTTCAAAAACAATTCAAAAAACATCATATCCAAACAATATATCTAAAATAACTCCAAATACATATTTAATATGTTTATTTCAATTTGTAAATTTCAATTATGTATAGGATATATATTATATTAATTTAAATATATTTATTTATACAAATTATAAATATTTTATTTTATATAAAATATATGTTATATATTTATAATATATTTATATAAATATTATATATTACATAAATTATATATAATATAAATGTAATTATACATTTATATAAATATTATATATTATATACTATATATTTAATATATAAATAATATATATTATATATATTATACATTTATATAAATGTACATTTATACATAATATATATTTATGTATATTTATAATATACATTTATATTATGTATTATATATAATGTAATACATTTATATTAATATACATAATATTAATATATTTATACATTTATATTTATTATATTAATACATTTATACATAATATTAATATATATTTATAATATATTAATTTATACATTTATATAATATTCATTTATAATTTATACATATTTATATAATATACATTTGTACATTTATAAATATATTTATATTATGTATTATATATAATATAATACATTTATATATTTATTTATAAATATATAAATATATTTATTCATAATTATTTATAAATGTATTATAAATGCATAAATGTATATAAATATAAAAATATAAAAATTAAAAATTAAAAATTATAATATAAATTTATATAAAATTCATTTACAATTTATACATTTATAATAATATACATTTATACATTTATACATTTATAACTATATTTATATTATGTATTATATATAATATAGTACATTTACATATTTTTATATAAATATATAAATATATTTATTTATAAATATTTGTAAATGTATTATAAATGCATAAATGTGTTTAAATATAAAAATTAAAAATTAAAAATTATAATATACATTTATATAATATTGATTTATAATTTATATGTTTGTAATAATATACATTTATACATTTATAAATATATTTATATAAATATATTTATTTATAAATATTTATAAATGTATTATAATTGCATAAATGTATATAAATATAAAAATTATAAATTATAAATTATAATATACATTTATATAATATTTATTTATAATTTATACATTTATAATAATATACATTTATACATTTATAAATATATTTATATTATGTATTATATATAATATAATACATTTATATATTTTTATATAAATATATAAATATATTTATTTATAAATATTTATAAATGTAATATAAATGCATAAATTTATATAAATATAAAAATATAAAAATTATAATTTATACATTTATATAATATTCATTTATAATAATATACATTTATACATTTATAAATATATTTATATTATGTATTATATATAATATAATACATTTATATATTTTTATATAAATATATAAATATATTTATTTATAAATGTATTATAAATGTATAAATGTATATTGTTATAAAAATATAAAATTTATAAATTATAAAATAATTGAAAATATTTTTAAAAATACATCTAAAAATAATCCATAAAACATCTACAGTAAAAGTTTTTCATATAATTTTTGAAAAATAACCCCAAAAACAACTAATCCAAACGGACTTGTATTTGAAAATCGAAATGCTAAAGTATTGTTTTTGAAAAACAACCCCAAAAACAGCTATTCCAAACGGACCCAAAGTTATATTGAAAAGAAACCAAGGCTATGACAAACAAGATATTAAGCAGTTACAAGAATTGTAATTTGGTTCCCTTTGAACATCTGTTTTCAAGTTTAACGTGATATAGAAACTAAAACTCCAATATTCATTGTCTATACTATGGACCCCATACCTATTTAATTATTATTGGACTTTAAGGAAATAAAAAAGAACTAAAATATGATATTTATAAAGAAAAAATAACAATATAATAAAAAGTAGGACAAAGAGTGGCACGGAAAGTTGGACAGAAGATCCATTACGTTTCAATGAGTATTACTCCTAATTTAAATTCTTTGTGTGATATTAGTGGGATAAATCCCAAATAAACAAGCGAATCAGTCTGCTAAAGTGGAATACTTTGGTTTCCAAATTACAATACTTGTAAGGGTTCGTTTGGTTTCCCATAGAATTGGGGTTTAGAATTGGAATTGGGGTCCCAATTCCAATTCTTCAGTTTGGACACCGGCAATGTTAGAGAATTAGAATTCAATTCGAATTCTATGGGCCATCAATTCCACAAATTCAATTCTTTGGTAAGACCTAAGAATCACAATTCCAATTCCATAATTTCATCTTCTATTCGGGTTGGTACGCGGATCCTAAGTGGATTAAATCAATAAAACGGATCTCCATGTAATCAACAAAAACAAAACTGAAAATGAAAGTCCTCCCCCCCTCTCTCTCTCTCTCGTCACAGGCCAACCACCGTTTCTTTGTAGCTCTTTCTTCTCCGCATCTTCCTTCTCCGCCTCCTCAGTCCTCCCATACTTCCTCCTCTGCCACCACCTATACTTCCATCTCTGACGCCTTGTCTCTCCTCTTGCTCATCTTCCTCCTCTGCCTTTTCCCAGCATTGAACATCTACTTTCATTTACGCTGTTTGGGAAGACGATACAGCTGCCGGAGGCTCCGTCTGCTGCGGTGGCTGCTTCCACAGCTCCATCTAATAATATTTCCACTGATGATACTTTAGTGGAAAGTAAATTAAATTGGAAAACGAAATGGGGATTACGTTAGTCCATTCCATGACTAGAGTTAAAACAGATCCACAACAGATGTTGTACACGTTTCAAAACGCCCTCATTTGGAAGAAGACTCAATAATATCTACTGTTTCTCAATCTGGAGAAAGTTTAACCTCAGACACGTAGGAATTATAGATGCTAATATTCAAGACTTTAAGTTTAAGTAGCCATACATTCTCAATTTTAAGAAACTTCAACTCAGAGAATTAATAAAATGTGCAAGTGGAAGTGGATTCCCAAGCATTGGTTCAGCTACTTAATTCTCCTACACAAGTAAACTGGCCTATATGTCTTGTTTTAGTACGTGTCAAGCATGTAATAGGTCTCTTGGCAGCCTCCATTATCCATATATTTCGAGAAAAAAAAAAAAACTCAGAGAATTAATAGGATGATTGGAGGCAGATTTTTTTTTTTTTTTTTAATATATGGATAAATCATGTTTCACTTGACTTGAGGTTATAATTTGCTGGCAAGAATGGCTTAGCCAGTCAGTCTGGAGTTCTGGACCATTGAATGTTGACAAGTTGGACGTAGACAGTTCACGCAAAAATATGTCAATCTCGCCACCTTCCTAGCAATTGAAGAAATGCATTCTCTTAAACCAATTAAGTTCAGTTCTTCTGCTTAGTGAAAATTCCTCTAATGATTGCTTGTGTCATTCTTTTACTTTGCTTTAATGGCTACGTTTCTAACTTGACTCACAGACTTTTGCATCTAAATGCAACAATATGAAAGTCGACAAAATCCCCTATGCATTTGCAACATTTCAGACTTTATTCAGAAGTTAAGAAACAAATAATTTTGTATGAACAATTTGAGGTTAACCTGTATGTTATTTGTGTTTCTTTACCCCATTGTTCAATCATTGGAGGGACACGATTTCCAGTGGCGAATCCAGGATGCATTAACACCTATGGAGGAGTGACAATTCCCTACCCATTTGGAATTGGTCCAGATTGTGCTCTAATGAAGCATTCACCATAAGCTGTACTGATGTCTCTGGCGATTCCATCAACAGTTCAAAGCCGTATCTGGGGTGCTTTAACTTGGAAAAGGTTCCCAAGAAATTGTTGAGGCGCTGGAAGTGTCCCTGAGTGATCAAACGGTAATCATAAACTTGCCCTTGCTCCAGGTTTGCTGGAACGATTCATTTGATCGGGCAATTGCAGAAGGTCCCCTCGCCGAAGCTCCTTCTTTGTTTCCAGAGAATGCAACAAGGGATGTTTCTTGGCCGTGGAAATGCTCTCTTCAGACCGAGACTTGGCAGTCCAGAGATCTTGTCTGGTTGCACCTTAATGTGTGGCACCAACAACATAACCGGTTGCTGTGGCATCATCAATTGCTGTCAAGCAAGCATTCCCTGCTATCTCAGCCAATACAGTTCTCAATTGCACGTAACGCTTTGCAGAGCTTTGCATCCAATACCTGTGCCTATGCCTTCTTGGAGGACCAGAACTGAAGTTGGAGAACTATGCGGACCCTCCAAACTTGCCTTTGAGATATGCTCCTGCTGCGTGGTCCTGCCCCCTAAACTATTCTGATATTGATGCCATCTCAGGTTGCAATCCTAAAGGAAGTCCCTTTTGAATTACAATCCAGAGCCATTTTCACTTATCAGTGTGAATGCAAAAGCTTGGGGAATGCAACTTGGTTCTATGAATTAAACCCATATTTAGATTTTAGATGATAAGCTGCCAACATGATAAGCTGTAAAGAGATGGTTGAGTTTATTATCTTGGCCTTCTTGCTTGTGCTCACTCCTTCTGCTCCAATTGATCCTCCTTTTGGACATTAGTCTAATACCCCCTTTTTTTTTTGGTGGTTGCTTGCTTCTTTGGTCGAAGCCAACTCCCAAATCAAGGGAAGGCGTGAAGAAATAGTTGATATTGTTGCTAACCCACCCTAGATCCCCTTCTTCCCTTCCTTTTGTAAATATTTAAGTGACCATGGCAATGTTCTTCCATTCAATTGATGGTATTTCTAGAGAACGTATTGCACATGTTAGTGCTATTGAAAGAATGTTACAGCAACATTTGTCTGAAAGTAAAGAAAGTGAAGGAAGAATGTCACAGAAACATTTTTCTGCGGATGCTATTGAAAGAACACATCTCGTTAGTGCTAAGAAATTGAGCAAGGCTATTGATGGATTCAATGGAAGTCGAATACTCAGTCAAGGTGGCCAAGTTACAGTGTATAAAGGGATGTCAACTGATGGAAAGATTAGCAATAAAAAAGGTTGAAATGTTACTGACAGTCACTTTGAGGATTTCGTCAATGAGGTGGTAATTCTGTCACAAGTCAGTCATAGGAATGTGGTAAAACTCCTAGGTTGTCGTTTGCTTATAGAAGTTCCCCTACTGGTTTATGAATTCATCCCCAACCGAAGCCTTCATAATCTCATACATAATCAGAGTGATGATGATTTCCGCTTCACTTATAACTTGAGACTAAGAATAGCCATAGAGATAGCAGGGTCACTGGCATATCTGCATATTCTGGATAAATATATATATATATATATATATATATATAGCCAAAGTATCCGACTTGGGAACTTCGAAATCTATCAATGTTGATAAAACTTACTTACCTACATGAGTTAGAGGGAATTTTGGGTATCTGGATCTAGAATACTTTCAATCAAGCCAATGTACTGAGAAAAGTGATCTCTTGAGTTTTGGAGTTGTTTTTGTTAAGCTAATAACAAGACAAAAGCCAATACCTTCCAAAGAAATAGAAGAAGATTTTAGGAGTCTGGCAGACAGTTTTTAAAAAAATCCATGAATCCGAATTCTCTGAAAACAATCCTTGATCGTCAACTTGTAGACGAGAGAACGAAGAAGAGGCTATTCTTGTTGCTAAACTTGCCCAAAGATGCTTAAACTCAAGTCAGGAGAGAAGACCAACTATGAAGGAAGTAGCTATTGAGTTGGAAGCCATTAAAATATCCAAAAGGGATTCAACTATCCAAGCAAATTATCATAGTCCAAGTTGCATGGACGAAGGATCTGTACTGACTTCTGATATGCATCATACACTGACAATTGAGAGTGAAAGCATTTCTGGTACAGATGATACATGGACAACTGGAACTGAGACCATTAGGTCAGATTCAAGTGTCAAACCCTTAGATGTCTAGTGCAGTCGAATTCAGAACTCATAATCATTGACTCTGAGCATATAACCTGCTATGGAGTGGCATCTTGGTTAAGCAATTTGGATGAGTAATCTGTCAGCAGTGAAAGAACCATTTGAACCTGGATAAAGAAGGATTTGAGCAAAACCAAAATTTGTAGGCATCATTAGCTAGGTCTTAGAGCTCAATATGCAGCAAAATGATACTATTTGTAAACCGATGAGCTAAAGTACGTACTTTACCATAAGTTGTATAGTAAGATAATACATCATCTTCATTTCAAGTGTTCCTTCAATACTTTATTCAAAAGAAGAAACTTCATTTCGAACAAAGAACAAACCAGAAGAACCATCATCAGGCAGCAGAGCTAGTCTTACTGGACTTTCAGCACCTTCTTCAACAGTTAAATGACCAGTATTGAAGTTTACATCTGTTTTTACAAAACCAGGACAAACACAATTTATACGAAACTTTGGGTGCTTTTTAGCAAGAACCCTAGTATATGCATTCATAGCTGCCTTTGAAACTGTATATGCTGACATAGATGGAGGCCAACCTTTTGCTTTAAGTGAACCCTCCTTAAAATCCTTGAGAAATTCATTCACCACCTCATCCACTCTCTCCTCTGTAAGGTTTCCAGAATCATTTAGTACTCCTTTAGCCCATTCACTGGGTATGTGCTGAAACATGATCAAATGAGTCAAGAGCATATTTCCATTAACCATAAGACATGAAAAATGAAAGTATGAAACAGAAAGAGATCATCTTTAAAGACACAGCACGTTTGGCCAAGGTACAACATTAGCATTGTCTCAACAACTTAGGCAAGTATGACATTTTAGTTTGTCAGGTCTAGTCAATGCATCTGTATCCTGTTTCCAACTAAGCTTGGTGTAAAACAGCACTCATTTTAGGTCCTAAATTTCATATGCAAGAACACAATCTGAGATTTTAGTACCTTTAACTTTCCCATTGACGAAGAAACATTTACGATCCTTGGTGAATCAGATAAGTAAAGGAGAGGAAGAAATGCTTCAATCATTCTTTTTGCACCATAGTAGTTTGTCTGCAGACATTCTACTGCCAAGTCATATGTCTCAGTCAAGATGCCATTCCAATCTATATGTGATCCATCAGGCTGCATGATTGAAGGTAATCAGCACTTCAACAACTAACTAAAGTGAAGGGCAATTATTCAACTACTTGCTATGTATTTGCACAATTCAACTTATTCAGAAGGGAGGGATTCCTGCAAAGTTACTGTTTTTTTGTTTTCCAGAAGATAGCATTGCCAACACATGGCTAGTGTAAACAGAAAAACTTAGGAGAAGAACACAAGATAACTGTAATGGTGATAAAACATTACTCTGCAAATAAGGTTGAATGATTATGAACATTACACATCATCAAACTTATTAGTTAGAAAAATGCATCACAATGTGTAACCATAGGTATGTGCACATATAAGTACATCAAAACACAAAAGAGAAATCGGTTTCACAGTTTGGGTTGTGGCAATTAAAGATGACCTTTGCAGGTCAAAAGGCTTCAAACTTGATCTTTTCCTAGAAGATATTTGGTACGAAGAGCTCTGATTTGCAAATCCTAATTGATTATTGCAAAGTTAGAACTAATGAATTCATCTCTTTTCAAACAAAATGCAACTTCGGCCAAGGAAAATGTTGCTCTCAACTGGACAATTGTAATGCTATTACTATCCAGAGGAAGCAATTACAGACAATATTGGAACCAGAATACTCTGAATTGATAATGAATTCTAAAAACATTTACACTTTCAGCCTTCAGTTTTCAGCAGCAAGTATGAAACAATCATTAACTCCAAAACTAGGGTACCATAACCTTGTTATTATTCTACAGAAGCTCTAACATGCAGCTGTAAACATAAGTAGCTTCCCATGGGTGCTAAGAATCATGACTAAGTATGAATAATCATTGCCTGATGCAGATGAAGTAAATCAACATAAATCAATAGCTGTAAATTTCAAGCATCCATTCCAAGGGCTGAAGTCCTCATTAGCTACAATTTCAACATGCATAGTCTATCATGAACTTAGCATCAAAAAATGCCAATTAGAAGCTAACAGTCAGAAATGACTCACTCCACCAGATCCATATCCAGAAGCTCTTAAAGCATCAACATCTACATCAACTCCACCAATCCCTGCATTATTCACCTGGAACACAAAAGCTTATATATGAGTGTCCTATTGATGTTCTAAGTCACAATTCTCGAACTGTAAAAAAGTGAAAAAGTAGATTTTTAGTGCACAGATCTCATTTCCCAACTTCCTGTAAACCCCACCATTTTCTTGCTTCCCAAGAGGAAGGAACTTTCATACACAAGATCATCCCTAAAACAACAGCAGTCAAAAAGACCATTTTTAGTTTTTAACCTGGGGCAATGCTGAAAGAAGTCAAGTTACAAGACTGCAGGGTTGTTACAAAAAGTTACTAAAACATTAAGGTTCTCAACCATGTAGAAGCTAAGTAGACCTCCAAAAAGAGCAGAAGATTATAACAGAAAATGAAGCCAAAGTATTTCGTGCATCCTGTTTTTGTTCGCTAAGATGCCACTACACCAACTTGACAATGCAATTTCATCTTCTTCCCAATAATATCTGCAATTTTATGTCTTCGAACGTAAAGCAATTCATTACGACGATTGCAAAAAATTCGCTATATAAGAGTTCATATCTGCTGATATACACATGAAATGAACCAATTATACGCTTTCAGTAGCAAAAGATTGTCAGAAATTTGGATGCAGACACTAATTTCAAAACCAAGGCATCCAATCCAAAACCTTTTAGAGAATGACTGGGATTATATAAGTACTTAAGCACCAAAAAAAGGCCTAAATAAGGCCCAAGATTGCAAGAATGATTAATATCAAGCTCTTTGATTCAGATTTTGTTAGGTGATTCACCAAGATACTTTTCTTGTACGAAAGTCTGGATTTTTTCCCTTCATCTAGCAAGCAGAGAAAGCATTTTCAGTCGGAAACTACACAGTTTTCAGAATTGGAGCAACTTAATTATTACCAGAATATCAAGTCTTCCATAATGTATTCTGATGAATTCAGCAAGAGATGCAATACTTGAAGGATCAACCACATCAAGCTGATGAAAAACTATATTGTCAAAGAAATCAAGCCCTTTAAAACTCTCAATAGCTTCAAGTCCCCTCTTCAAATTTCTAGCAGTCAATACCACTGTGATTCCATTAGAAGCTAACTGCCTGCAAATTCCATAGCCAATCCCTTTATTTGCCCCTGTCACAATTGCATATCTGCAAGAAAAAGATTAATAACAAATCAAAAAAGAACCAAAAGTTGGTTCTTGATGAAGAATGAACTTGGAGACAGCCCAATTCTTATACGAATTCATAGGACGTTTACCTTTTTTTTGAAGAACTAATTTCTTCTGCCATGGCTGATAAGTTGGAAGAGTGGGCACTGGCCAGGAGGACTTAGAATATTACCTTTCCCTCAATTTGATGGATAAGGAATAGTCACATTTCTCGTTGACTTTTCTTGCAAAAAAAAAAGAAAAAATTGCACCTTTAATCAGTACGAGGAGTTGGCGTAAATTTGGGCTGGTGTTTCTGTCACGCTTTTACGAGTAAGTAACCAGCATCTGAAGTCGTGAGTTTTCTATGGCTACAGATATCAGTGAAGCACAAAGGCGTGACAGAAGGTTTACATGGAGTTTGTCCCCGGGTTTATAGCGTGGGGGCTAAGGTGTTGTATGCGTAATTGTTTCGAGGATCCATTTTTTTTTTATCGAAAATCAATTTGATTGCATTAACTTGATATCACAAGGTTTGATACAACACTCCTACTTTCTTTGTAATCGTTTTGTACACTCTCTTGGAGCCACATGGAAAAATTTTACTTCTCATTCAGCATTCATAACTAGTTGAACAATCAACTTTGCTAACCTATGTGCGCACTTGTTTCGAGGATCCAAATTGAACCCCTTTGATTGGTAAGCATGCGATCTTCTCTCTCCTATGAGTTTTCTTTCTCTCTCTACGAGAGCTTTTCCCCCCAATAGTGGGAGCCAAAACTTTCCAACTCTGCAAACTTTTCAAACTTTCAAAAACCCAAAAACAGAGTCTCAGACAAGGAGCAAACAATTAGATACTTTGCAACCAATCAAGGCGAATTTGTCCGCATTTCCAAACAAGAACAGTTGTAAGTGCTGATTGTTGTCAGTACAGGAGCTTGCCCAGGTTCCAGGAGCTTCGGACAACTTAAATACAAGCTGGTCGGAGCTAAGAAGATGGAACGTCACAGTACAGAAATTTGCAGCCATAAATGCATGCTTGCTTAAAGCCAGGGTTTCACTTAGGTTTTCTTTCTTAAACTAATTCTCTGCATTAATTACATTTATTACTCTTTTTTTTTCTTCATTTTTCTATCTACTTGTTTCTGGTCTCCCAGAAAGGCATTATCTAGTGGAAGTACGCAGATTTGAGTGCTCATCTGTATAAATTTGGTTAGATCTAGTTCATACCTACAGAGAAGTGGGATTTCTCCTAAATATCATATTACTTCTATGGCGGAAGAGTTGACTGAAATTATGCAAAAGTTTGCCTTAAATAGCCATGAATACAGTGTGACTGACCTAGATGAAGGAGATGCTTGCATAGGCAGGCAGGAATGCCAGACCAGTCTGTTGGGGAGAATCAAGGGAGATAAGATAGCTAATTTTACTGGGGTTAAAAATTTTGTGGCAAATGCTTGGGGTTATCCAAAAGATCTCAAGATGACTGAGCTAGGACCAAACTTCTTACAGTTCGAAATTAAGGGGGAGGAAACTAGAGAAAGGATAGTCAATGGAGGGCCTTGGATTTTCGATAACCAGATACTTGTGCTGAGTAGGTGGTACGAGGGGATTGAGGATGATCCTAATGCCTTCAGAATAGCACCACTATGGGTTCAAATGTGAAACCTTCCTTTACATTGCATCTCTAAGGAGGTAGGGAAGAAAGTAGGTGCAGTGTTTAAGGAAGTCAGGGAAGTAGTTATTCCGCAAAATGGAGGTAAAGAAGGAAAGCATCTAAAGGCACATGTCGTGGTTGACATTTTTCATCCATTGCTTCGAGGAACAACAATCAAAATGAATGGACTAATGAGATGGACTAAATTCAAATATGAAAGGTGTCCTGACTTTTGCTACACATGTGGGATTATAGGTCATAATGAAAAGGCCTGTAAGTCAAAGATAGTAGTAGAAAATGGTCAGCAAGAGAACCAGTATGGTCCATGGTTGAGAGTAAATTCTGGGAAATCTTCACTCCAAAAGGAGAATAACAACTACAAATCTCCTTCCAAAAGGCAATATTGGAGGGTGGAAAATGGGGAACTAGTGAGGAAAGACTCAAAGAGACAGGATGGGGAACATGAAGCCACAGCTCCAAGAGGAAAGGAACATCTGGAAGAAAGGGATAAGGAAATACATAAACCAAAAGAGAAAGTGGACTATATACCAAGGAAGTTGAATAAGGAACTACAGGTACAGATTCTGGTCAGCAAGGAAAAAAGGGGAGAAAGTCATACAAGTATTGCCAGTGTGGAGGAAGTCATAAATGAGGAAGTCCAGTCAGGAGCTCAACCATTCAGTAGTAGCAAGATGGTGGAGCTTTTACAAGAAATGGAAAGATGCAAAAAGCCAAAATTTCAAGGAAATAATGGAGATGATGAGATAATGGTGGACAGGGAGCTGCAAGAACCAAAGCAAAAACCTGGTCTAACCATCCAAGAAGACAGTGGTAACATGACCATGCCAAGTGAGGTACAAGACAAACCTGTGAGTCAAAGCAGCAAATGCACTCAAGTAGAACATCCTCAGAGACAGGAAAGGAAAACAAGGAAAACAGCAAGGATATCAATGGGAAGGGGAAGGAAGGTTTTGCAACAGATTGATGGCAATTGTCTAAGCCAAGTAGGAACGACCAAAAGGAAATTGGCATTGGAGGATGAAAATATGACAGACACTGAGACCATCGAACACATTCAGAAAAAAAACAAAGGGGGAGGCCAGGAAATGGAAATAGAACGATCAGAGGAAGGGGTGGGTGCCAGCCTTCACTGGACCCCAAGTGATCCATGAAGGTTATGGTGTGAAATTGCCAAGGTGCGAGGAGCCCCTTGATAGTTCCCCACTTGAAGGAGTTCAAACGACTCCTCTCCCCAGAATTGATGTTTCTATGTGAAACTAAGAATAGGAAACAATATATGGAAAAGATTCAAAGGATTCTAAACTATGAACACAGCTATATAGTGGAATCAATGGAAAGAGCAGGTGGCATGGTCTTATACTGGAGTGCACATACCAAAGTACTGCAGGTGCAACACACGGCCTTCACTTTAGAGGCTCATATAGAGGACCAAAGCAGCAGCAGTGACTGGTGGATGGTTGGGATCTATGCTAGCTGTGATGACTCAATAAGAAGACAGCAATGGTCAGTCATACAAAGAAGGAAACATCTATGGGGTAATAGATGGATAATAGTAGGGGATTTCAATGACATTTGTTCCAACAAGGAGAAATGGGGAGGAAGGATAAGAGAAGAGTGGACTTTCAATGACTTCAGGAACTTTATCAATGAGAATCAGTTGGTTGACATTGGTTACGAAGGACAGCCTTGGACCTGGAGCAATAACTGGGAGGGGAATGGTGAGATTAAACAAAGGCTTGATAGGACACTGAGCAATGTACAATGGAATCTGAAATTTGAAAAGCCAAAATGCACTCACATTAAGTCTCATGCGTCTGATCACAGTGCTCTACTGTTGGATACTAACCCCATGAAAAGGAACAGGAAAGAAAGATTCTTCTTTGACAAAAGATGGCTTCAAAGGGAAGGAATAACTCAGGTAATCAAGGAAGCTTGGGACAAGAATGTAGAGGGGTCCAGGATGTTTCACATTAAGACAAAAGTGAGGAATTGCAAAATAGCTCTACTTAGATGGAGCAACAAAAGCAACAAGAACTCTAGGAAAAGGATTGAGAGTATAAAGGAGAAGTTGGATCAGATCCAAGGAACATCACTGCCAAGTATCAGAAAGGAAAAGGCTTCTCTTAAAATGCAGTTGAAGGAAGCTTACAAGGATGAGGAAATGTTTTGGAGCCAGAAAACTAGACTCAGATGGCTACAAGAAGGAGACAAGAATACTCAGTTCTTCCATGCACAGGTTAACAGTAGAAGGAAGAAGAATAGAATGCAGCAACTACAAAAGGAAGATGGGACATGGACAGAAAATGAGGCTGAACTGGGAGCTGAAATTGGTAACTACTACAGGCAACTCTTCACCAAATCAACCGAGAGTAGTAATCATGAGATTCTAGCTGGAATCCCAAAATCCATATCTGAGACTATGAACCAGGATCTAACTAAGGATGTAACAGAAGAGGAAATCAAATCTGCAATCTTCTCTATGGATAGCAACAAGGCTCCTGGCATAGATGGGATGTCCCCGCTTTTTTTCCAAAAATTCTGGGATATAATCAAAGGAGACCTGGTAAATGCTATAAAAGCTTTTTTCATTCTGGTAACATGTTAAAGGCTATCAACCATACCATCATTTCCTTGATCCCAAAAGTCCCCTACCCCACCAACATCAAGCAATACAGACCCATTAGCCTTTGTAATGTGATTTACAAAGTTATTGCCAAAATTCTAGTCAATAGGTTCAAACCAATTTTGCATCATTGCATCAGCATTAATCAATTTGCTTTTATCCCTGGGAGACACATTCTTGATAACATCATTATCTCTCATGAGTACTTGCATCATCTTAAAAACAAAAGGCACGGTAAGGATGGATTTATGGCTGTGAAGCTTGATATGTCTAAGGCCTATGATAGAGTAGAATGACATTTTTTGCAAGTTATGATGGAAAAAATGAGGTTCTGTGAGAAATGGATAACATGGATTATGAAGTGCATAAGTACAGTCTCCTTCTCCTTTAACATCAATGGAGAGTGTAAGGAATACATTGTACCAGAAAGAGGGATAAGACAAGGTGACCCTCTGTCACCTTATCTATTTCTTATATGTTCAGAAGGCTTCTCTAGCCTGCTGAAGAGAGCAACACAAACAAGGAATATGGCTGGCATGAAGAGAAGCAGACATGGTCCCTCAATAACCCATCTTTTTTTTGCTGATGACTCCCTGATCTTCTGTAAAGCCAACTCTCAAGAAGCAAAGGAGCTGAAGAGGATACTAGAGGTATATGAACAAGAATCTGGTCAGATGGTTAACTTAGACAAATCTAGTGTGTTTTTTAGCAAAAATGTGAATTTAGCAACAAAGGAGGACGTGTGTACGGAACTAGGAGGTATTCAACCAGTATCGCAAGGGAAGTACCTAGGATTGGCCATGGTGATATCAAGGTCTAAAGGACAGCTGTTTGGCTACATAAAAGATAACATCAAAACAAGGATGCTAAGTTGAAAATATAAGCTCCTGAGTTCAGCTGGGAAAGAAATTCTGATCAAAGCTGTGTCTATGGCAATGTCTACTTACACAATGTCTTGTTTCAAATTACCTTGCAGGTTATGCAAAGAGATAAGCTATGCTTTTCAATTTCTAGTGGGAGAAAAAGACAACAAGAATAAGGATCACTGGGTAGCTTGGAAGTAGTTGACAAGGGAGAAAAAACGAGGAGGCATGGGATTCCAGGAGATTCAAAGCTTCAATAGTGTTTTGCTGGCTAAACAGATTTGGAGAATCATCAGAAATCCAAATCTGTTATCCAACAAAAAATTCTGAAAAGCAAATACTTCCCAAATTGCAGTGTGCTGGATTGCAAAACTCCCAACAATGCTTCATGGTTTTGGCAAAGCATCATGAGTGCAAGAGAAGAGCTTCAATGGGGGATACGGAAAAGGATAGGGAATGGACTTTTAAAAAGAATTTGGGAAGATCAATGGATTCCAAACCAACATTTAAGGAGGCCTGTCACAATCAAGCCGGAAAATTGTCAAGTACAGAAAGTTGCTGATTTGATAGAAGGCTACAGGTGGAATAGGAATCTCATCTTCAAAAATTTCAAAAAGGAAGATGCTGAAAACATTCTCAAGATCCCCATAAGTATTACAGGAAGAGAGGATGACTTCTTCTGGACAGAAAACCAAAAAAGGGAGTACACGGTACAATCAGGTTACAAGGCAATCCAAACTAAGAAAGAACAAGAGGGCAGAGGGAGAAGAGAAAGGATTGAGCCCAGCAACAGACCAAGAAGGAATGACATGTTGAGAGTGTTGTGGAGCCTAAGAATCAGTCACAAAATTAAGATCTTCATATGGAAAGGCCTGAAAGAAGCAATTCCAATCAAAGAATTAATCTGGAGAAGAATGTCAAAAGGAGGCCCTATATGCTTAGGTTGTGGAAAGGAGCTAGAAACCTTGGAACATCTACTGCTGAAATGCAAGAAAGCAAAGGAGATCTGGAAAGCTACACCAATACAATGGGATGGGATTCAAGAGCTGACTTGGAATTTCAACAGCTGGTGGGCTGCATTATCCGAAGCAATTCAGAGAGATCAGGGGATGGACCATATATCTCTTACAGCATATATTCTTTGGCAAATTTGGAAAAGCAGGAACGATAAAGAGTTCAACAACAAAACACATGATCCAGCACAAATGATCAACAAAGCCTGGAATGCTTGGATGGAGTTCAATGAAGGGATCAAAAAGGCTAGGAGGTATAGCATTGAACAAACAACAGCACCACTTCAAATGGAGGAACAAGAAGCTAGCCAAAACCCAGACAATAGATCAGCAGGAATGCATATAAGAATAGCAACCAAGTGGAACAAGGCATCAAAGTCCATTGGGTATGGTATTGTAGCAGCTGACTGTAGAGGGCAGGATGTGATGGGATGGAAAATGAGGGAAAACGAAAGCTGAAACCAACTTCAACACGACACTGAAGGTGTAAAGTGGGCGTTGATCAAAGCAGCAGAACAAGGTTGGAGGCTGGTATGTATTAGAGTTCCTGATACAGAACTTTTGCAGCGAATTCAGGGAACAAAAACAATAGACATGTGGTTAGCTACCCTGATAGAGGACATCCGCGAGCTAAGTAATATGTTTTACAAATGCTCTTTTTGCATAGGAAAATATAAAAGGAATGATTTAAGTTGTTTGTTTAGCGCTCAAGTTTTGAGCAATTATTTTGATGTAGAATGGGTCAACCCCAATCTATTGTGCTAAATGCACATTGTAAAGTATCGAGCAAGTCTCGCCTGTATATACTTATATTCCAAGCAAAATAATCTTATCGTTTCGACAAAAAAAAAAAAAAAGATTGGTAAGCATGCAAAAAAGTTGTTCATACTTGGATCTTTGGATATCTTTGTATGTAAACATGTCTTGACTGATGGTAATTGTCAAGATTTTTGAAAATTTAATTCTACAATCATTATGTTTTTATCACTGGACGTCTCTTTTGTTTGTAGTCCATATTTGCATTAAAAGAGCCAAAGTTTTTTGGGGCAGTTTTTAAAAGTTAGGTAATCCACCTTTATTGTTAGACGTCTTTCTTATATGTAGTCTGCATTTTTATTGAGAGAGTCAAAACTTATGAGAGCAAGGAATTAAACGTGGAATAAAATTAAAGTGTGTATTGTACCTGTACATAGTCCCATGCTACAGAAGAAAAATCATTAATTTTCCATGTTGTTGAAACTTAAATAGGATGTCCTTCACTATTAATGGTGATGCTTTTCCAAGGTATCATAATTCATAAAAACAGTTAAATTTCACTCCTTTATGAGTATTGTGTGAGGACTTAATTAAGAAGGCGTGAAATTTGGTGTCAATTTAAATGGCTTTAACACAAAGACGTGGCTTAGCATTTCTCCACTAATTGACACCTTGAATAAATAGGCCATGCTAGAAAGCACGTGAAAAATGACCTCGCATTCAAGGCCAAAATTATAACAAACTGGAACCTTTTGGGGGCAAAGTGCAATTACCCAAGCGAGAAGCTCTGAAAATACAAAGGGATAATTTCATAAACCTCCCCTGAGGTTTTATGAAATATCACCTAGCTCTCTTGAGGTTTTCAAAATCTCACTTAGCACCCCTTGAATTGATATTTTGGTAACATTGAAAGCCCTTCTAACCAAAAGTAATATTAAAAAATTCATGTTTGAGGAGAAAGATTATTTTAGTGCCTTTAATACCCTTAGGCCATAAAAAAATGAACATTTTACAAACCAAGAAAAAAAAAGTACTAAATTGGAACCATCTTAAAAGTGGATAGATGAAAAATGGTAAGATTTTATGTTATAGTCAATGTCACTTCTACAGTAGGAAAAGATAGTAAAAGCAAAGTAATTGTGTTTGGACAGCTGATTATTTGTTCAAATATATTTGCTTACATCACCATTACAATTTTCAATATACCTTTTTTATCTTCCTAATTATCTTTTTATCTCACATACATCACATCACAAAAAATGTTATAGTAAAAATATCTCAAATAACTTACAATTCAAACACTAAAACCATTTCTATAAATAGAACCATTCATAGCATTGAAGGTAATTAGCATGTAAAATCAAACATTTGAGTAAAAAAAACTTAGTAATAGACGAAATTCAATTTCAATATCATACAAAAAATTTACTCAAAATAGACAGAATTTTTTTATGGGTGTGAAATATGAAAATTTTATTATAGAAAAAGTTAGACTTTAAATAATTGTTCGGAGTTTCAATTAGTTTATTTCTCTTACGCTCTACATGAATAGGAATAAATAAATAAAGTTGTGAAACACCAAAAAAGGAAAAAAAATAATAGAACTTGCAGCTATTCTTCTCCAAATGCATTGAATATTTCATTGATTAAATCCTATATTTCATTGATATTTGTAATTTAATTATACATATATATACATATATATGTGTGTATGTATGTATATATGTATGTTTGTATAGACATTGTTAAAGGAAAGTATGAAATTTAGAGAAAAAAAACAAGTTTAGAAAATTTAAATATGAGGGTATTATTGACAATTCATCACCCTTGATATTAGTATATGGCCCTACTATCACTTTAAGGGTGCTAAGTGAGATTTTGAAAAGTTTAGGAGATCTAGGTGATATTTCATGAAACCTCAAGGGGGTTTCTGAAATTATCCCAAATACAAAGCAAAGCCCGGTTGAGTAAAATAATACCGTACTAGGGCACAAATTTTGTTCCAACCCAGTGCAGCTTCTCCAAAGGACTTGTTCAAAACCAGGTGAGCAAATTTTGCTTTTACTTCGATATTCAAATTCATTTGTAAACAGAATTTTGGAAATTAGTAAGAAATAGAATTGAAATCCCAACTCAGAATATTACTATTTTGATTGCAAAAAATCCTTCAGCAGTAACTGTTTCATGAATTTCTCACATTCTTGACTACAATCCAAGACTGATAACAATGTAAAAAAAGAACCCTTTTTTTTTCTGGTATGGGGAAATTTCCAATTAGTTGTACGATATTTGTGTGTGATTTGGTGGTTTTAAAGAATAGGGTTCTTGGTGAAGGAGGGATTACGTGTATTATTGGATGAAAGATTATTGTTATTTGCATTGAATAAGAATTGAAAATGCTCGGCTTTCCTAAGTTTTGATGTAGAGTAGTTAGTTTTCGTTCGTTAGTTTTGTAGCTCTAGATTCTACATTTTTCTGACTTGGAATTTTAATTTTGCTGTTGGATTCATTTAGGCAAAAGGAGGAGGAAACGGGGGAGAAGAATAGGGAAGGGAAGTGGGAATATGATGGAGCATGAGTCTAATGTTAATCCTACCCTTAGCAAGAGTACTGGGCTACCTCGGAAACGATTTTATCGTGCTCGGGCACATAGCAATCCATTGAGTGATTCCCATTTCCCTGTTCCTGTTGCCCCTTCTCAATTTGATTATTTCAGTCATTATCCTCAGATATCTAATGATTCCAAAAAGATTGAGTTTGCGGACATAGGTTGTGGTTTTGGAGGGCTTTTAATTAGCCTTTCAACGCTTTTTCCTGCAACCCTTATGATTGGAATGGAACTCAGGGATAAGGTGACAGAGTATGTAAAGGAAAGGATTTTAGCACTGAGGACTGGTAATCCTGGGCAGTACCAGAATATTTCAGTGGTTCGCACCAATTCGATGAAGTACATTCCCAATTACTTTGAGAAGGGGCAGCTTAAAAAGATGTTTTTTCTGTTCCCGGACCCTCACTTTAAAGAAAAAAATCATCGCCGTCGTGTTATTAGTCCTTACTTGCTGGATGAGTATGCTTATGCTCTTGCAGTTGGTGGAATTATTTACACCATTACTGATGTGGAAGAACTGGGGGAGTGGATGAAATCTTGTTTGGAGAGGCACCCATTGTTCGAACCCCTTACTGTGCAAGAGCTGGAAGATGATCCGGTTGTAAAGCTTTTGAGTACTGCTACTGAGGAAGGACAGAAGGTTGCACGAAATGGTGGACAAACATACCAGGCAGTATATAGACGCAGAACTGGTCCTATTGAATGATCAATCATGCTTGCTTGGTTGCATCTCGCAGGTCCTTAGACTTTCCCACATTCTCTTGCTCTGCCAGTAGAGAATGTAGTTTTGTGCTGATAGTATAGATTTGTGAAATTTTGGTATTGAGTGTACCATTGATTTATGTAGAACAAACTCATTTTTGTAGGCTAAATTCATTTTTCCCTTCCATAGTTTCCTATTGTGATTTCTAGCTAATTTTAGTGCATATTCATAGCACTGTTTGATTTTGTTTCACGATAGATATGAAAGGGCTAAACATGGTAGAATTTTGGTATCTTTGTTACACGTTCAATTGGTGTAAATGTAATTTGTCAGGTGAACTTCAACCTTGTTAACTACTAGTCGATCATCTTTTCTCAAGCAACAAGTGAACTTCTTCTGGTCTAGGAGATGCACAAATCCTTAAAGTGCATTCCATAACATGCTGTAGTGCATTTCTTTTACACCAGAATAAGACGTTTTTATGTTTGCTCTCCCCAAACCACCCCCAACCCCCCCCAAAACATCCCCCTCTTTTTCTCCTTTTTAAGGAAAAATGAGAGAGGCTATGAAACACCAGTATTTTATTACCTACTGACTGGCTTTGAGAAATGCATTATGGCTCCTGTGATGCTTTGGGATTATGGTAATTTTATTTTTCAACGAATCGAATCTGTTGAAGACTATATACACCTGTGATGAAATAGATTTGATTGTGAAGTTTCTTTTCTGATTTTACCTTTCACCTTTGGAATGCAACTTTGCAAGTTTTTGTTGAGTTGATAATTTGGGAGCACCTAACTGATATTTTCATTAATAATCTTAATGTAAGATTAATTCTTCTGAACCGTACCTCTTTTATGTTTTGGAGTCTTTGATGAATATTTGTAGTGTAGGATTGATGTTTCTGGACTTAATCGTTACTCAGAGATTTTCTGCCCTTGTTCTTGATGCGAAAAATTGAAAATATTCCTAATCCAAATTGCAAGTAAATAATCAGATTTCTTTTTCTTTTTCTTTTTCTTTTTTTTTTGTATAAGTGGGGGATTTTAAATCCAGAACCTCCTACTTACGATCCCTCTTACTTTACGATTGAATTTCAAGTCTGAAAAAACCAATGCCCCGTGGGAGGGTGAAACTCTACAAATTGTGCCCAATAAAGATTAATTAGACCCTTTATATGAGTTTTTCGTATAGAATAGAGTAATTCACAAACAGACATTTGATTTTGGAGGTGACCTAAAGCCAACAGAATTCCTACCAAATAAGTGCTTGGGTACGTCTTTATTTGAAAAAAAAAAATAAAAAGAATTTACTATGCTATTGTGGCGCTTTTGTGATGTAATGTATATGATATAAAAATATAGGAATAATTGGAAAGATAAAAATATGATT